GTTCCTTGTTCTGGTCACCTGTTACAATTTTTCTAGTTCCTTGAAGGTTTACCTCAACGGCCAATATCCCAGGTCCAATTATGCCATTCCTTTCTGTACCTTCCCAAGGACACATTTTATCTACTATCATCTTCTCTGTTCTGCCTAGAAAGGTTTAAGTCACCTGATAGCAACTGCTCCTTCTGGTTTTCCCTTTCATTCACAATTTACTTATGGTAAGTGTTTGACAGTCTTCTTTATGGTGAGAGTGACAAAGCACTAGAACAGGCTGCCCAGGGAAGCTGTGGAGTCCCTGTCTCTGCAGATATTCAAGACCCACCTGGATGCAGTCCTGAGTAAAGTGCTCCAGGGGATCCAGCCTTAGCAGGGGAGTTGGACTAGATGATCTCTAGAGGTTCCTTCCAACTCTGGCAATTCTGTGATTCTGGTAAATTCACACTTCTGAGAACACTCTTCTCATTTCCCTGCAGCATTTGTATCTGAAAATAAGTTTGATTCAAAATTTGGGAATCTCCTTTGCAACAATAAAGGCTACTTACTTGCTGGCATATAGAGTCCTACTCTACCTCACTGCTGCAGCAAGGACCTTTTATCTTCTCTGCAGCATAAACTGTGTATACTTATTTGCACATATATACACTGTTGGCACAGAACATAGGTTTTGGGGGGTGAGGGGTCCTTCCACTTGTCAGGGACTCTAAGAGAATGTGAAGGGAGGGTGAAACCATCAGCTGCCTGGCTGCTGCTGAAGGGACAGACACTATTCCATTCCCATTTTCTCCCTCCATCTCCCACCTACTCCTGGGCACTCACTTCCACGTGTATCTTGCACCCAGTCGAGCAATCCTGGAATCCGTTCAAAGTGTCAAAATGCAACAAACTAACAGAAAACCAGCCCCAGATGAATAGTTTTAATCTTAAATTAGGAAGCAGAACCTACTCTCAGAAGCATCTAGCGAGGGCCACACCTGGCAGAAGGGAGGGAAGATCCCTCAGGTGACCTGAGAGCAGCAGGGAGAGAAATCCCCCTCCTCTGACAGGAGTGACGTAGCGTAAGAATCTAACATTTTAGACTGAAAATAAATTGTAATTGTTAATACAGTTAATGAATAATAAAGATATCCTTGGATTTGCTTAAAATGCAGGCACAACGAGGTCAGTTTTCACATAAAGAAAGCACTCAGAAAGTTCTAGCAGAAGGAACTACTTAGACTCATAACAGAACTGTGCTTTATTTGTTACAGCTGTTCCTCTATGATACCTGATGCCAGACATAAATTCCTTTGTTTTGGAAATGGCTGTTCACACACTGAGCCCAAAGCATGTGTTATCAGGGCCGATATAATTGATGTTAGGAGTGTAATAAGCTGTATCGTTGCCTGGAAAATCAAACCCTGCAAATGGTGGTGAGGCTGAGTCATTCCCCTGGGTAACAAAATGATGATATGCTGTAACTGAATGTAGATTAAAAACTGCATAACACTACCCAGGCTGGCTACCACAAAAAGGAAGTTAGTAAAAGCCAAGAGTGAACTCTAATAGGTTGTTGGTTCTCTTGTCCTGCGTTAGGTGTGTCATAAATGAACATTAAAAAACAGTGTTATATTAGAAGTCAACAAGAGCTTTATTTATTTATTTTTTATATAGCATGGACTCATAACCCTTTTTGTACCCAAAAGCCTTAGAGATTAATGTTTTTCTATTTTCCTTCACTATATATATTTTTTTAATAACGAATGCATTGGAAACATGTATCTACAGTGTTTGGAAGTGTGAAATCAAACTGCGAAATCACCCTTGGAGCACAGGTACTGCAACAATTGTAACATTTAACAAGCATATGCTTTTTTAATAGTGCAAAATTGATTTTATTTATTTCTCTTGGATACTATACTTACACTTAGGAGAGCAGTCAGCACGGGTGTAAATTCACCCTGGATCTCCTTACTCAGAGAAACACACTGCAGAGTAGGGACCTGGAGACACAGCATAGAGTTCTCTGTTGTGCTCTGCTGCAAGAATCAACTGAGAAATGTGTGAGCAGCACAGGAACACCATGAGAATATAGCATCAAATACAGCTCCATGAGGTGGTTAAGGGATGGAAGCATCTGTCATATGAGGACGGGATGAGAGAGCTGGGACTGTTCAGCCTTGAGAGAGATGGCTCCTATCACTGTGTGTCTGACAGGAGAGAGTAAAGGAGACACAGTCAGGCTTCTCAGCGCTGCCCACTGACAGGAGAAGCCAAGGGCACATACTGAAGTAACAGAAACTTAATTTAAATATCAGAAAACAAATAAACTAGGGTTTTAGTTTGGGGGTTGTTTTGGTCTGTTTGTTTGCTTAAATTGTGAGGGTGACCAAGCACTGGAACAGGCTGCCCAGAGAAGTCTCCATCCCTGACACACTCAAACCCCACCCGGCCTTGAGAAACCAGCCCTTGCTGGTCCCACTCTGAGCAGGGGTTTGGGCCAGGCAGTCTCCTCCAGAGCTCCCTTCCAGCTCTTCCAGGAGCCTCGTATTTTGCAAGTACATGTATTTCTACATCATTTTACATAATCACTTTATTTCGGTTTACTCTTGAAATAAAAAGTAATAATAAATTCACAGCACTTGAGAAAGCAATCTAAGTGTAAATCCTGTGAAAACGGATGTGCAGCCACTGATTGTGAGCAACAAACAATTCTCAACGTTTAAAAACAGTGACAACATCAGGCACGTAGCTCTCTCCTCTTTATTTTGTAAGGCACAACCACAGGCTCAAACCTAACCTCACAGAAGACCCTGTTGCTGGAAAAACGAGGCCATAAATGGCAAGTGTCTGCATTTGCTGCTTCCTGGATGTGACATGAAGAGAAGGTACGTGCTAAATATGATTTATCCCTCTCTAATTTATTCTAATCTGCTGCCGGTCACAGCGGTTTATGACCTTGTTCAGCTGTGTCAGACACCTGAGCCACTCTGGCTCCGGGTGGGAAGGAAGGGCCTGGTCCCCTCTGCTCTTGCCCCGCCCCCTCCCCGAGCCCCGCCCCCTCACTGAGCCCT